GGATAGAAGCAAATCGAGAGTAACAGGCAAAACGGACGCGTCTCTATGAATCTACTCGTACATTCCGATAGAAAAATAAAAGCTGCAAGTGATCTCTTAATTGGAAGTCAATTTGAAGGGTTTGTGTCAGGGTATAAGAAATGAACAAGTCGTGTTGATTTTGCTAACCTCGCCTTTCGCAAGCTTGACGCATTCAATCAAGTGTAAAACGAGGCATACTCTTGACAAGCAGGTGTTATTTAATTATAACATGCAAACATTTAAAAAATAATAGTTACTTTGTTTTACCTGGACGATTTTTCAGAGGAATATTTTACCGATCGGTGATCAGGAAGTAGTGCTGCCAATGGATTTAGAAACTCTGGTGGATTTCTAAACGTGATTTTTTATCTTGGTAAAGTAAAAATTTCGCCTTACATTAGCGTAAGACCTCTAAAAGTAAAAGAAGCTTATAGACCAAAAGTAACTATAGAATTTAGAATATAAAAAAGATGATGTTTACTTATAAGCAGTTCGTGTTGTGTGCGTCAACTGAAGCTCTCCAGGCAATACGGGGCTTATTATCGGTTCAGCAATAACATGCAGACCATGTTTCTAACTTGCTCTCAATTCGTGCTGCATCCTTCGCGAGTGCCTACTAGGACCGTGAACTTGGGTTGTCTAGGTTGGCCAGGGTTGAAGCAAGAGAAAAAAGGTAAGTTCTACATATTACTGTAAAGTTTTGTTGTTTGTAGCTTTATTTTTCTGTATTGTTTGGATAAGACTCAATTCATAGAAAATTAATTCAACTTGGGTGAATTTAATCACGACTGCACCGAATACGATAATGCCTCTGAATCTATTGGGTATCCTGCGGAAAAAGCTGAGCGAAATGTAAACCTAAAAAACGTTTAGGTTACTTGTGGATTGACTCTGTCGCCTGGTGATGGCGTGGTTGCAGACGGCTATCAATCACGTGGATCTTACCAGTTAGAGTCACAATTGCGCATGATACTGGGCAGCCAATAGCCGAAGTTCTTGAACGAGGTTAAGGTTTAGTACATCGTGCAGGTCAGAATGTATCGTGCGAATACATTAAGCCTGAAGTATCGCTTGCATGATGCGTCAGCGTCTGACCTGCTCAAAAAACATCAACTCATTGTGCCGCCAAACGCTGGCTTGATACGATTCAGAAGTAAGGTTGACCTACACCTATCACACATATGTGCTTGGCACGTATCTCAATACGTTCCACACTTCCAAAATTACCCATTGGCTTTTCATATATTACATAATGCTGGCTACGATACCGTCTTCATCTTGAATTGTAGTAGTTTTGAGGCTCGTTTTGTCCCGACTGAATTCTCAGACGCACAACTTCTATGGCATTATTAGGGCAGGCAGCGACAATTCAATCAGTCGCCTTTCTTGGCTTAACGAACAGTCTCAAATTTATGACATTTCAGGTTGCAATCATTCAGGCCTCCTGAACGTGACTGCTCCAACTATTTGCAACCGAGCAGAAAAAAAAATCTTCAGATATTGATATTGTAGTAACGTATTTAAGTAGTTTGGTAGTGTAGGAACGTTTTGCAAACAGCCGTCACGGTTTTTTTCAACGAATAAACATCCGCATTGCTTTTTGTCCTGATGGACTGCTATTGTTTAACTATTCGAGGACTAGAATCTCTGTTTTTTTTTTTCTATGTATGCCTTTCCAACGAATTTGATTACTGTTCATTAGCAATCCGACAGTGTAGATTGGCCAGTTGTGGAAGATCATCTGATACTAAATAAGTTATATTTATACGCATTCCAACGGTCCGGTGTTTCGATTAGGTTTTGCTACTAGAGAAACCAGACACACTCTTCATACATGTCTCTTCTAATATTTAACTGCTTTCTTCCTGCTCAAATCTCCTCAATGATGAGGTTCCGTCCGCTGTTTTTGAAGTAAGTTGTTTTTGTCAGTCTTTTCAGGATTATCCAACGCTGATCATACGCAAAAATGTTTAACTTTCAATTCCAACTTACAACATATATAACATATCTATTGTAAGTGTCTTAAGCAAGTGAGGATAATTATCTATAATGAAATAAAATAAAAAGCGTGCTACGTTAGGGAACAGAACAATTTTATGTATCAAACTGCCGGTCAACTTCTTGTAGCGTTGTCAGCGAAATTGAAAGCTACGCTGCTGAAGCCGCGCCGACGATGCCAGCGGCCATCCTAGATGCATCGTCGTTTTAACATTCGCTGTTCTATTTCCTGTGGCGTTTCAGTCATATATTCGTAGGCGACGTTCACCAAACATGAGTCAGACACCGTGTGAGCGAAGCTATTGCTCAACGAGTCGCTTCATGAGTCACTGTATGGTACGTCACGTCCGAATCCTTGTCTTCATTGCATCGGAATTGTAACGATTGTAATAATGAAAACATCATTTATGCGAAATTATGTTGTTCTTTCGCGCGACGTGACCGAATGAAATATATGCCTTCACTGTAATTTTATAGTTTATAGACTTTTTGTATCGAAGAATCAGTCAAGGGTATGACACCACAAAGTTCGGTTCCTGTATTGGTGGACTCAACCACCACGCTAAGCGCGCATCAACCGCGGCTAAATCTATCGGGCATTTAATTAAGTTGTTGAAAGCAAATAACAATTTTTTCCAAGATAGGCAAACACTCAAGCTTCTTGGACAACTTTGCTGGTCGATGCTTGCTATGTTACAAAAAGTTATCATTTATATAAACCCTGTTCGTCAGATGGCTATCAGTGGGGTCAGTAGCGCTTTGCCTATGGCCAACACGCGAGTGAATTCAGTGTGTTGTAAAGTCGTTCTATATTGTGCGAAGCGTACTGTGAGCGATACCCTGCGATAAGGTGTGGTAAGGCGAGGTGCGACCCTTTGCTGTCGGCAGTTTGCCCCTTTTTGGGTATTGCATAACATCACTTCTGTCCTCCCTGTTGTCGCAGGTGGTCATGTTGTGCACAGTCACGCCAGGACTTTTCGAAGAAGACGTACCCCGTGGGCGATTCAGGTTAGACACGAACTTTAGAGAAGCAGCTTTACCAAGTACAGAGTTGTGTTAATCAGTATGCAACAGGTCAGTCAGTGGAAGAAGCCTACACTTTTGTAGGCATTTTAGGTTGCTCTTAGCTACTTTACAGAGGTTCAACATTTCCCCAGCAGTCAATAAGTGGCCCACTATATTGACCATAATATGGATTTCCCATCATTGTTACCTGAGTATGCAAACTTCTCTACTAGATGCTTCAAACTATTTTACACCCAATTTTTTTTTTATGAAAATTGATTTCAAACGACATTTTTAGTCAAATAGTTTAGATATATTAACTAAAAATACCGTGCCTATTTAAGAAGCGACTCGCTTTTCGTGTGTATGCATAAACATGAACTGAGGACTTGAAGTCAGATTTATTCACTTACTTAGCATTCGTATATAATTTAATATATGACTAAATATAAACAGAACCTTTGAGTAATTTTATATATATATATATATATATATATATATATATATATGTTCTTTCTTTTTGTGAAAAACGCATCAAGGTGACTAAATAATCGGGCAAGACAATTTCGTAAATACCTCACAAATGTCCTTGGAGTATGATGTAGAGATTCAAACACTTCAAAATGGCATGTCATCAAAAGCTACCTAACTACATGACACACATTGCTGCCTTATGGATGTAAAAGCGGTCGTAGAAAAAGTGGATTGTGATGATGGGAATAGCAAATATTGACGAAAATATTCAATAAGTTCATTCTGGAGGTGGTCCTTTGGCCATGTGTCCTTGACGCGCTCTTGCCACGTGTCTCGAACAAAAATTGCTAGTGTTCGATGCAAACACTAACTCCTGGCTGATCTTATTGATGCTCACTGATTGATCGCACACATTTTGCGGCCAATCCGGATTAATCAATTTAATCAGCACCGCGACATTGCCGTGATGGCCAAAATACGGAACTTCTTGCACTCATGTAATAAAAATTCACTTGAGTAAATGTAACGTTAAAATGTCCATTTATGAGTTGTTTCGACAAGCAAAAACCTTTTAAAAAAGGCCGAGTTTACCGACCTTCACATGCGGGGTGCGAGGTGTCCCAGTATGTCCTTATTTACCTAACCTGTTGATTCCATAAGCATTGGTAAACTAAACAGCCGAACGCAGAACACTTGCAAAGTTCCATTCCAATGGTGCATATATACACAAGGAACAAGACAAGGCCACGAGCCTCCCAGTTTTTCTAACAACATTCTACTTCTTCAACTGCCTCTATAAAACCTAGATCGATAATATTAGTAAGCAAGCAATTGGACATTCTTTGCTACCCACAAAAGAACCATAGAAAAATATCCGAGATATCACTCATCATCTCGTGATAATATTAAACCAGTTACAAAGCCACTAGCCAAGTCAATTGTTTAGAGTAAATCGACCGACTGATTAACGCAGCAACAATTGTCGTTTGACCTTCCGCTTATTGTTCTCAGCTTCCTACAATTCCTTTACTTCGACGAAACTATGATGGCCAACATTTGACGAATGATATACAATGCCAACGAACTCGACGCATCAGGACATTCTTGGGCCGTTACCTCAGCTCTTCATTCCTTTGTCGACCCGCTCTACCGTCGTCTTTGCCTATATCCTCGTAGTCCTTTACACTACCCATCTTTGTGGGTCTCTTCCTCTTGGACTTTCGCACTCTTCTTTTCTCTCTCTCTCTTGCTCTCGTTCTCTTTCTCCCTTTCTTTTTTCCTAGCTTTTCTTCCCCAGCGCCTCTTCTTCCTGTACTCACTTTGGTGTAGTGTGTCTTTTGTTTCCGCCCACTGAACGTCATCGGCCCATGTGTCTGTGTTCCCATCACCCAGATGGCGCCACCGGCGACCCGACGGTTGGCCCTTACCCTCGACGTGGCCTCACCCTCGCCCTCGGCTGATGTGTATAAGCCCTTCAAGGCGCACGTTGCCTCCACATTCGTTTGCGCCGAGTGCGTCCTGGCAAGCCATCCTTGCGGCTTGCCCCTGTCACGCTCTCAGGGCCCGTATTAGGTTCCGTCCACGAGCAAGATCTCAGCTTACGAGATCAGACCACGGTGAGGTGTACAGTGGACAAAGTGCGAGCTAGTTTCGAAGACGAATCCCGCAAAAGCTAACGACCAAATATAAATACTACTACAACTGCTATCACAGATTGATCAGGTGTATGTGTGTGCGCGATAACCGAATAGTGATAGCGGCACGGCCATAACGACCAAAAGCAATATCTGTCTGTTTATCTACCTAAAAGCCTCCATCCGATCAGGTTTACTGCGTATTTAGCAGGCATCGAGTGTAGAGTGGTGGGAAAAATATTGTGTACGAACCCATAAAATGTATGCAGACTGAGAGAAGACAGGTTTGAAGGGGTTGTCCAATACATCTACGTTTGTTATTACACGTAAAGTCAGCGAATATATACATTGTATTGAAGGTGATTTTAAGTGGTGCGCTATAGCAAGACTGATAGAAGCTAAGGTTTCGGCAGGTGACAACAGAGAACAAAATCAGCGTCCACAGACTCCATAATAAGGTGAGTAAATAGGTAAGAAAAAATATGATTTTTCCGGCAGTGTGACGTGACCTTGACTATAAAACCGCCACCTGCCTGCACAGTCTCGCACTTCATGCAGGGAGTGGTACTACTTTTCGTAATGAAAGAGATACCCACAACGCTATACACGTATAAGGTTCTGATCATATCGTTTGAAATATCGAATTAAGCAAGAAATGCTTCCAGTCGATATCTTCTTTTTTACACAAGAACGGGTTTACCAAAGGAAGAAACGCTTTTGACAGTGAAACAATCACAAAAATGTTCGACAAGAAGGGATAGACAATAGACATGCTTTGTAAGGATGCGGAAATGCTCTTGTAGGATTGTTTTCACTTTTTGTCTTCCCACCAAGCGAATCTTCGAGCACGGTAAAGTTTCAAAGCAGACCACGATGTCTTTCTTATCACGGTCTTCCATCTACCTTGTCACTCTCGGAAGATAACGTCTGGGTTTTGTCCCGTCTAACCGTCCGACGCAAGGTAACCCATTGAAGTCGTTGACCGTATGGTGCAGGCACCATATCCAAGCCACTTCGTACTCTAACTGCCTCGTTTCGTCTTCACGCTGACGCCAGCTGTCATCTGTGTAGATTCACTTCGGGTAGGGGGTGGTTCGATATATAGATATGGTTTCGTTGGTTGGTTTGAGGATGCTAGGAGCCTACAACCGTGTTATAGCCTTAAGGCGCTATGATCGCCCCGCTGTTATATTTTAGTAATCTGGAAAAAGGGACGTCAGCGGCCCTTGCTGCCGCAACCACGCGATGCTTGTATGAGTACCATTTCTGAACAGAGGAGAGTAGGAAACCGGTTATGTCCCCTAAGTTGGTTCGCCGAACCATCTATTCTAAGGGATCAGGGACGAGAAGGAGTTGCTATTTGTGCTGGCTCAAGCATGGGCTTCGTCATACCTTGTATTTTCTCCTGTAGTGGTCGATCCTCCGTCCCTTCGTGTGCTCCTATCCCCTTCTGAAGTAGATCACCTTTGAATTTTGACAACAGAATTTCGCTACGAGCGCTTCGACTACAACGCCTCGGCTACGGGTCTGCAGTGGTGGTCGTGGTCGACGCCTATCTGAGGACGGAGACAAGTTGGAGAAGGTGCCGCCGATTTACAAGCAAAACGAATATATGACGGGTGCTTCGGCTGCAGTCAAGACGAACAGCGTGAAATATCGGAAACATTCATGAAGGGAAGAATCCAAAGAGACGACCCGCGTATGGTCGTGTCGTTCCCTGATATGAACTGGACAAGATTTATGGAAAGAGATAAATAAAGACAAACTGAAACGGCGAGTAACGCTAAATAATGCTATATCAAAATAGTAAGATCGGCGCGTCATCCCGAATGTCTGAAGAAAATAAAGTTTAACTGACAAACAGATAAATGTATGTTATGTAGCATAATAAAAAAAAGGACTCTGCAATAGACTCGCGTCTGCCTTGGCGCTTCAGTGACTTGCACCTATGGCTTATTAATATTAGCAGACACGCTTCTCAGTTAACAGACATGCAAAAAAACTACGCATCTTACCGGTTAATAGAACTGAATAAGGTTCGATTTTTAGAATCCTTGATTTCGCAAGAGAATACACTATCTGTATTTGGATAAGCAAAAACCCTCTTCCTGTCACTTGTTAGCTCCACAGAGCGAGTTGAAAAAAACAAGGGGCCGAATTCACAATTTTCTGATGGGGCCCTATTATTTCTCAAGACCGCGAGATAGGTTCCGGTACAAACGTTTTTTCAATTACGTTTCGGTACGGCAATTTCCTCTTGATAACATTGATTTTTTTCTGTTCTATTCGACTTTGTTGAGGTTGGGCGACGGTTTATGCAAAACCGAGCTACTACTGGTAAATTGCTCGTAACTTTATGACTCATTCGCCCTCTTGAATTGTGTTACCATCGCTTAAGTTCGGCCGTGCCAGCTTTTAGAGTGGTCTGTATGCTTAATGGAGACAGTAGTAGATAGATAGCAACTTGTAGAATGCTGTACGTTGCTCTTAGCTTACGACGAATCGTTGTGGGATGCCTTTGGCACCCCCTCGTCCCATTTTGCTCCTCTCTCTCGTGTGCGTTTTCCTCTAGCCTGTGCCAGCCTCGTGGAACGTATGCATAGGAGTGTGCCGTTGGAGTACAGCCCGCATGCCATGTGTCCTATGTACCGTCAGGCATTCTGGCTTAGGCTTCGGTGACTACGATACGGCCTGAACAACCAGTCGTAGTTGTCCAAATAGTTCGAGTTTGCAGTTGTGTAAGACAGATAAGGGTTTCTGACGTTCCCATTACTAGCTCCCGGAAGCTAGCCATTCTAACCGCCAAAACTTTTTGCCTATGGCATTAAGCATCCTGTTGGTTGAGTCAGAGATGGCTCGCGAAGTTTTGTGCCCCTCTGAAAAGCTTGCTTGCCCACTTTGCCGTGGTCAGCAGCTTGTTAGCAATGGACCCAATGATAGGGCGGGGAGCGAGTTTGTTGCCAAATATACACATATTGTAATTAGCTGCTCGGCAAGGGACAAAAACGTAAAGAGATGGTTGGTCTCAAAGAGATTAGTCTAAGATCGATTTTATGCCGAGAGCCGATCTTGATATGTAGCGATTATCAGTTCGCTGAGTGATCAACAACTAACTGGTAACCGGTTGGAACAAGCTATAATTATTTATACATGTTGTTTGTTGATTGTTTTGTTTTACATTCTATGATAAACAGAATAGCAATAGAAACAGGCTGGCCACAATCTCACTTTACATTACTTCTGAAATAACCTCTCACGTTTTCGGTGCAATATTGAAAGTCGTCATTGATAACGAAATAGATTGTGAGGATGCAAACATTTTCGGAACAGGATCGCCAATTATGTTAATTTGCCGTTTGTCGGCTACATTCAACATGTTAGCAATAACTGTGAACAAACAAAAGCATTCTGCTATGTTAATTGCAAACTGCACACTGCGAAACCTGCCAGCTCCATTGCGCTCGGGTCTACCAAAGCATGCCTATTGAGTCAAGATTGAGCCACCATGCGTGGTAAGGTTCGCATTAGGATACGTAAATTGTATGCGCGACCTCCCTGCCTTAGCTGTTACCGTCTTCTCTTACGTGCCCCTATTACAACTTGCTCATTGCAGTAATCCAGCATGTTTTATAACACTGATACTGGCGACAATAGCTAGAGAAAGGGCTATAGCTCAAGCCAAAACAAGCGGAAGGGAGGCAGCAGCAAGCAGGAGTAAGTACGAGGAATGGCTTGGAAGGACCGCTCTTGCGATAAAGAAAACAAGGTCGTATCTCGCATACATCCACCGTTTTTATATCGAAACAGAGTCGGCTACGACGCGCTGGTCGACTTTGTCGTCGTTTTCGTCTTTGTGTTTCCATTACAAGAACTCAGCCTTGGTCGCCGACAGAGGCTTCGGGCAGCGCATGTCGCGTTCACTGACACTGGGGCAAGTTGCAATGGTGCCACTAGGCAAAATTGTCGAGGATCTTAGTCTTTCACAAGTTGCCACTCGAACGTAGGTAGATACGGCTAAGCAGCATTCTGACTGAGTATGCCTGTATTTTTTTCTAACCTTCGCTTTTTTTGTCCTTTTCATTGTCTTTTTTGCTTCTCACTCACTTTTTTCGTGCACTCATTATTGGATCTCCGTTCGCTCTTTGTTGTCTTCTGAACGAGCACGGCGCAGACGGGGGGAACGACAACAACAACAACGTAAGTCGTTCATTCGTTGTCAAGGGTTGGAGTTTCGAGGACTTGTCGACTTGCAGACGGCCTCGTATGAAGCGCACGATAGAAGGAACCTAACCCAATATGGTTCGTGGTCTGGGCAGCGGCGGCGAGTGGGCATGCGGCAAGAATAACGGCTGACGTCGAAAGGCACAGCCAAGCATCCGAAGCCACTGAGGATAACTTTGGAGACTTGCTATACAACTCGTGCCGCCGCCGGCGCTAGCGCCGCAAAGTATGTCAAGCGGGTAGATGGTTTAGTGGGCATTTAGCTGGTTCAGCGAGCCATGTCGCATCTTTTCAGAAAGAAGACGAAGAAGAGAAGTTGAAGGCGCAGCGAGGAATCGCCCAGCCAAGTCTCGGACTAGGAAAACGACGTAAAGACCGACGGGAGGAAAGGGCAGACAGAGAGATCTTGAACACAATAGACTCAACGTACACTCTGTGCCCAAGCCCGTCTCGGGTGCAGGGTGTGCATGGTCTTGTAGGCTCTCATACAGGCTGGCAGTCGTCGTTCTGGCACCGGCGTCACCTTCTTCGTTCCGTAGAGACGTTTGCTTTGGGCATCCGCGGTATGAGCGGAGAGAAGATACGGCAATAGAGGAAACTTTGCGAGCAGGAGAATGTGAGACCGAGAACAAGCTTTTTCGCAAAAGTCTGTGTTAGTGGCAAGGGGGAGCTTCGTTTCAAAGAGGCTCCCAATGGTAGAGGAAAACGGCTCGAAGAGGCTGCTGGTTGAGCGAATGAGCGACGAGCTTGTGAATCACTAACGGTTAGCGTTAAAGTGGAAATTGAGGTATTTTCGAGAGCATAACGCAGCACAGCGGTAGCAGGGGGTATTAGAAACAGCAGCAATAGCAGCAGCAGCAACGAGGGCCGTAAAACGAGGAACACCCTACGGCTGCCAAAATACGAGTTCATTGTTTTGATGGCATGGCTCAACCCCTAATCATTTTCTTGCCGTCGTCCTTTTCAAATATCCACATCGGGTCGCTTGACCATCGTGTTAACAGATTGAATGTCGCGACAGTAGGTGGAGGACATTCGGCATTCGGCTATGGGTTGTCGCAGCACAATTTAGAAACGGATAGCATTGAAAGAGGTTAGAGAAGCTCCACGGTGCTAACAGCGGGTTCAGACTAATTGGCCGCTATACCACAGAACGCTAGTTGGGTATCCGGTTCAAAAGCTGGATGGGCAGTTCCTGAAAACAGCTTCGTATTTTAGCTCTTTTTGGCGATGTCAA